GAGCAGAAGAGACATCTGGTTATAAAGTAAAAGAGAACTGGGTTATTTTTCAGTCAGTTCACTTGTTTTGGGTCTGAGTCGGCTTCTTTAAAAATCATAAATGTGAACAGCCTTAAGCACTTCTATTTGAATGCAAAACAAATTAATTTAGAGACAAAAGGCATCTCTGGTGAGTTAGTAGCATTAGTGCAGGGTTTGCACACCCTGATCAACACAACAGCTGCTGTTTCAAAGCATTTCTATTTCATTTTAAGCAGCAGCAGGAGAAGAGATGCTGAATGTTTGACGTCACAGCTCAAAAAGCTACAACTTTGTGACCCAATCGTGCAGCTCTAGCATGAATGATTCATAAAGTATTTGTTTTTTTTCAGTGAGGATCTGTCTTATGTATATTTGTAGAGAATTACCCATAGTACACCTGATAAATGTTTGTTAGAAAGTCTTGGTTTGATTTCTCATTCTGACAGTATTTTAGTCACAAACACATTTCCACTTACTCTTTCGCCTGCTCCTCTTTTTTGGCAGCCTCTTTCTTCATTTTCTCTTTCTCCACATATTCCTCTAGTTCTCTTCCTTCCAGTCGACAGCGTTTTCTTATCTGGATTAGTTAAATGAAAAAAAAACAAACAAACATAAAATCTCTAAGAAAAAACAAATCACACATATCAATGGCTTTCCTAGGTAAATGTGAAGTTACGTGATATTTTACAAAAGCTGTTTCTTTGACGTTTTTCTGCGGCTGAAACACTGATTGAGTGATTACATGAGACATGCTACATTTCAGTAAGTTGTTCCATTTCTTTCAACACCTTCTGATGTTCATTCATGTTTATTTCATGCTATAACTTGTAGGGATGTAACGATTCACTCAACTAACGATTTGATTCGCAATGTTTTTTTACAAAATTAGATTTAAGACAAATTATAAATTAAATGTGTCCTTTTATTATTGCTTGGACAAAATACTGTACGTTTCTTTGTGAAATTGAAATATAACACTATAATAATATACTAATATAGCACTTGTAAATTATTGCTCTTTTGTTGGTTTTGATTGCTTCTATCGTCCTCATTTGTAAGTCGCTTTGGATGAAAGCGTTTGCTAAATAACAACATTTAAATATAATGTAAATGTAAATAACAAAACTAAATAGAAATTTTAAAACAAGCCCCAAATCAAATAAATAAGTAACACAAATAAAATAAATCACTACATATAAACAAACTAAGGCTTTGTCTGTGCTCTTTCCATTTAAAATTTAGAGGCAACCACTGCATTTTAATCTTGATCCAAACAAAGATGCTGCATACATGCAACATGAGCAGTTTTTAATCTAAATTAGATTGTATAATTTCGAAATCTGAAGCAAAAACTGAATTTTTTGACTTCAGTTTTGTGAAACTATGCATAAAAAATATCTGCATGAAACCGAAACAGCAGACGAGCTGAATGAGATGCAGATTCACTCTCTGCCAGCAGGTGGCGCTTAAAGCGTTTCCTTGGTTTCTGCTGTAAACAAAGCAGCGCTGCACTTATGAACTTTAATATGCATTATACAGAGGCAAGATTATAAGAAAAAATACCATCGAAAGACAGTAAGATCCCCTCAGACATACATTCATATAAACTCCAACCCCTAATTGAATCGCGATTTGTTTAGCATCTCAACCGATTTGAAGTCACATATTTAAATCGATTTTCAACCGGCTCGCGGTTAATCATTACATCCCTAATAACTAGTAAAGAGGAAGAGATGATCAGTTCACGTGCCGCTTGATCCAAGGCACTACAGCAATCTGTCACGACACATTAAAGAGCATCAATTTCATTGTAAAATTGAAAGAATTTGAAAACAAAGACTGCTCAGACACTAACATAGTCAAAATGCACCATTGGAGTGTTCATTTTGGTCTTGCAAAACTGTTAATATATACAGTATATAGCCAAATATAGAATATTTCCGGTTGCTGAAATTTCGGTGCATCACTATTGCAAAGTGGCCCAGACTTCATGCTGATCTTAAAATTAGGGCTGTCAAAATTAACGTGTTAATTGTGCGATTATTTTTTTTGTAGTTTAACACATTAATTTTGTTTTATGCCATTAACACAGTGTGGTGAGGGGGCGTGGTTCAGTGAGGTCTGTATATAAAATAAATATATATACACAGGTCTGTAAATGAAAAATTTTACCGATGTCCTCACTACATTTCTGGGTCTGGGAATATTTCAGTTGCGTTGCTGTCTATGGGAAGGTCAGAGAGCTCTCGGATTTCTTCAAAAATATCTTAATTTGTGTTCTGAAGA